TAATAATGTTCAAATTGTGAGGCAATATCTGAACTGGAAGTGGCTAAGGAACCATCCGAACTCCTAATCTTATGAACAGTTAAGCTGGATTTTTTACTCTGGAGGGATCTAGCTAGAAATCTTCCGCTTTTGTTAGCAAACCCGTAAAAGAGTTTTGGTGATAAGATGAATCTTCGTTTAGTAGCCTTACCTAATTCGATTAAGAGTGTTGTGCGGGCTTCAGTAAGATCGGATAAGGTAGAGGCGGCTTGGTTCTGTTTTGTGTGCTTTTTCCAGAAGCTTAATGTGGTCGATTAGGTGTTTCAAACGTGCCTGTCTTTCTTTTTTGCGTTTCGTGGCCATGGCTATGAAGAGTCCTCTGATAACGCATTGATGAGCCTCCCACTGGGTTAACGGGGATGTATCTGGGGTTTGATTAAACAAAAAGTAATCCGTCAAGTGGGTGCGAATTTCAGCTTCATTAGCCACATCTGAAAGAAGGGAAGCATCTAGGCGCCATATCTTCGAGCGAGAGCGAGTCTAAAGTTGGATCCATGAAATGTCAAGGGACACCCTGATACCGCACTTTCCTCGAAGAACATGGTAGTCCCTCCCATCAGGCCCCCATCCAGCTCAACAGCCAATGAAGAATCAAGTAGCACCTCATGTCAAAAAACAGGGAAAAAAAAAAAAAGGAAAACAGGAGTTGGGCAAGGGGAGGGGAGCTAGGCCCGGGGGGTTCAATAAGAACCATAGAAAATGGCAACTGTTAAATAGTGCAAGGAAAAAGACCGGAATTAAGATATGCCTTTGGGGGGAGGGAAGGGGGTCCGGCCCCGCAGGATATATCAGTAGGGCGGAATGACGAGGTGATAGTTGATTGCAAAATGTCAGAGTACAAGCAAGACAAACAGAAGGACCACCTATAGCCCAGGCCCCCCCATCCTCCAACGCTAAACACCCATACCGGGTCCTCCCTATCCCTACAAATAAATTTAAATTAGTTAAGACAACCAACCTCCAATAAGGGACGCTATGGGGAAATGTAAGGGAGCAGGAACTGAAACATAGGCAGGTATACCAGCAGTTATAAAATCAGCCTCTGACTGGTGTAAAGCCTGCGGAGGGTCCCTGGGGAGCCAATGATAGGATCAGCTAAGGGGGAGCTTGAAGGATCTAAACACAAAGACTCTACAAAGGCTCCATACAGCAGACCTAGCTGTAAAAGCAATACTGGAAGGGCATGGTAAGTGTTAAGAAATCCTCTCCCAATCAACTAAGGCAGGGAAAAATCAGTGTTATGGCTATATCATGGGGGGGGGGGGGGGGAGAGGACAGAGAGGTCACTGTAGAGGTGCGGCAAGAGTGGCAGTCTTTCATTGCGGTTGGGGCGGTGTGCGTAGGGGTCTTTGGACTTGGTAGGATGAGATAAAAGACCGCCCTGGAAACCGCTGGAGGACCTTCACAAAGGCAGATGAGGTGTGGGGTTGATGGGGAAGGCTCTAGAAACAAGAAGGAGAATGTTCCATGCAGAAATCTCAGGAGACACTGAGAGCCACCAACTTGACGCAAGAGCCGGATGGGAGGGACCGAACAAAGTCTTATTCAGACGAGTATTGCTGGTGGTGAGAGAGGGTTAGGAAGGAGGCCACAGGAGGGCCCTCAGGCCTCATAGCAGGGTTTACGGTGCGCTGGAGAGGCAGTAGGGCTGTTAGAGGTTGTAGGGCCTCTGGTAGGAATTCTTGGAGGTGTGTGGAGGAGGCCGAACGGCGTCGGCGAGGAAGGAGATCTTGTCCTTCCGTTTCACTAGGCACACTGTTAGATGCTGGAGCAGGTGGAAGACGCATTAATCTGTGCCAGTCAGGAAGCTCCACTAGAGGAATGTCCAAGGTGGCACAGAAGCTGGGGAGGTCTTCTGGAACTCGCAGGTAGGCGGTACGCCCCTGAACCTGAGCAGAGAGACAGAATGGAAATCGCCACCTATATGGTATGTTATGGGAGCGTAGAATGTCCAGCAGGTGGCGAAGGTCTCGCCTTTGTTGCAGGGTGATGGAGGAGAGATCTTGGAACATGTGAATCTTGTTTCCCTGAAATAAAAGGTGTCTCCTCTCTTGCTCTTTTGAGGATGTCTTCCTTAAGTGGAAAGCTGACCAAACAACAAACCACATCTCTGGGTGGGTCCGAATCTCTGTTCCTGGGGTGAAGTGATCTGTGTGCACGTTCCAAATCTATGGGTGCAGCAGGAGGGCGACCCAGCAGATCATTAAAGATTGCAATGACAGTTTTAGGGATGTCACGTTGTTCTACAGATTCAGGTAGGCCACGCATTCTGATGTTGTGCCTGGGACCCTTATTATCCAGGTCTTCAATCTGCCTGTAGAAATTCTGAATATGTGCTGTGCGGGAAGCTGACAACTGCTGAATCTTCAATATGGAGTCTGAGTTAGATCTGCTTAGGGATTCCACCTCCTCCAGTCTGGTATGAAGCATATGGAGATCTTCCCTTAATTCACTGAGGGCTGTAGTAAAGGTGGCTTTAATATCTGCAGCCACAGCCTGTAGATCTCTCAGAGAGAGTGAGCAGGAATCTGATGAGAGGTCATGTTGTGGAATGGACTCTGTGTCAGCCCCTGTGTCTGTGTTCCTTGTGCTATGAGAGCACACTGCAGCTGAGGAAGAAGGGAGGGTGGGGTGAGGGAGAAGCTGCATGTGGCCTGTCCCCCTGCTGTGAGAGGAAAAATGCCTGAATATGGCGGGATTGCTGAGGTCTATGCACCCGCGGGGAGCGGGAATGGGAGCCAGAGGCATTCCGGTCCGCTCTCCCCATCTTTTTAAGTCCGTTTCTCACCCACTCCTTGTGCTTAAGCTGTGCAGGGTCTCTGGCTGGCAGGAGCTCCTGGATCACTCAGCCATCTTGGATCACGGCAGACCACGCCCCTCAACATTTTTAGTTAAGTAGGGGATTGTTAAAACCCCTGCCATCTTTTTATCTCTGTGTCCCTGTGCAGATTTTCGCTGCAACCATTCTCATCAGCTGTAGACAAGTGAGGGGAAATATTTCTAAGAGAGCCCCTGATAGCAGTAAAACCTGACAGGGGTTTCTGTCTTCCCTCTCTTGATTCAATGCTAAAAAAATAAATGTTTTGGCTAGACATACACTTAAAGTCAGTCAAGTCCTTATCTGCATCAAGGTCTGTGACTAAAAATATTGAAGCCAGCCAACCCAAACAGTACTCTCCTGAAGTTTAGTCATCATAAAAAAAAAAAATCCTTCTTAGCTTTACTGAGTTAACTTACCTGTTATGAAGGATGTCCAACATTGTGCAGGCAGCTGGATCCTGTGGAAATCTTCTGGGTAGGAAGGCCTGTCCTCTTCCTGCTGCTAAACTTCTAGCACTGCATGGGTTAATAGGTAAGATCTTCTGTTAAGCTGCTGTGAAAAGTTTCCAGTGAAGATCTGCTCCTTCCTCCCTCTTACTCCATTGCGAAATATTCTTGCATTAATTCCACTGCCTGTAACATGATCTGTGAATGAGAGAGAGTCTTGTGACCTATCAGACTCTCTCCCATTCACATATCGTGTTACAGGCAGTAAAAGCAATGAAAGAATGTTTCTTAATGGAGATGATGAGCGGGCAGGCCCTCATTGGGAACCAGGGGCGGACTGACAACTCTTGGGGCCCCCGGGCAATAGGGGATCATGGGGCCCCTGTGTTATTGCCCAAACTCAAAAAAAGCCTATGAAAAAGGTACCAGGGGCATCTCATGGGGCCCCCTACTGACCCCGGGCCCTCGGGCAGTGCCCGAGTTTCCAAATCGTCAGTCTGCCCCGTTGGGAACTTCATTCACAGCAGCTTCACATTGCACAGCATTGGAAGCTCAGCAGCAGGAACAGGACAGGGCATCCCTCCTCCTTGCACAGATTTCTGCAGGATTCAGTTGCCTGAACAATGTGAGACATCCTTCGTTACAAGTAACTTAGCTCACTAAAGCTATAGAGAATGCTTTTTTTAAGATAAAATTTCAGCTTTTGAGTAAATAAATAAAACTTCCTTATGTCTACCTTAGATTGCTGTGAGCTACAAATACTGCACTGTCATATGGCTTGCAGCTGAATTTGGGTTAGGGTGATTCCAGCTTGCATTTTTTAGAAAATAGATCATTAGACAAATACCTATATATAACTGAAATTATGAAGAGCACATTGCAAATCGTTTTTTGTTAGACATTGTTAGAAAGATGATCTTGCATTTTAAGTTATACAAAGCTTCCGATACTCTTAGATAATATAAATGTCATTAAAAGCTATTAGATGTAAACCGCTGTGCATTGTTTGTTTGCTGTTCCTTGAATGTTGTTCTCTTTGCTTATGAATGCCCATGACTCTAAAATATATTAATTAAAGGAGGCTGATGTGATTTGCTGATCACGGAACAGTCTTAATATACATGTACTATTTTCTTTAGGAACAGGGGCGGACTGACAACTCATGGGGCTCCCGGGCAAAAGGGGATCATGTGGCCCCTGTGTCCTTGCCCACACTCAAAAAAGCCTATGAAAAAGGTACCAGGGGCATCTCATGGGGCCCCCTACTGACCCCGGGCCCTCGGGCAGTGCCCTAGTTTCCAAATGGTCAGTCCGCTCCTGTTTAGGAACCATCCTTATTACAAATACCTTGGTATGCAGTCATATGGTGTATAGACTGAACTGCATTAGGGCAAAATGACAGTCATGTTTAGCATAAAGTGACTTGAGAAACATATCAATATATTGTATTTTTTTTTTGTTTAATACAGTATATTTGAATCATTCTATTTAATAGACAGCAGCCAATAAACATTTCACTTCTGTTTATGTATAGATTGACGCTTTGCATGGTAAACACCTGACTAATGGCTGTCATCTTCTCTGTTTGTTGAGCCTGTTTTCATTAAGTATGACTAATTAAATTGCTAGTAAGAATTTTTCTCTGTCTATATCGGTTTGGCATCTGGATAAAGTAACTTTCCCTCTTAATCATAGGCAAACTTGGCTTAGAAGAGTTTGCAGTTGTCTATCCGCCAAATGGTAAGCTGTGCTTTGTCATCCTCTAGTGGAAGATAAGGAAACTACACAAATATCAGTAGCTGATAGGATCGGTTCCATCTGCATTATAGCATTAAACTGCTGGCAAAAAAAGCTAAATATGCAGCCAAAATACATATATGTTTACCTGACAAATAATTTGTAATTTTGGAAAGTCCTTCTTGTGATACAGAACCCTCTGTCAGACAGGATGGTCACCCTGCTCTCTGAAAAAGAGAGATGAAACTCATTCACTCTCCTATGCGGAGGAAGACAGGTGACTTAAAAATCATTGCTGAACCAGGAAGATGAATTGATTACCAGCAGGCATGCATGTCACTTGCTTGGCTTTGCAGTTTGTTAAATATTTTTAAATCACAAGGCTGGCTGTACAGAATTACAAAATGTTTGGTAGGTAAAACATTAAAAGTATTTTAGGGGGTCTTTAAGGGGATGTCATTCCTTGTGTGGCCAGTTCTCTCAGTTATTGTTGTTTGTTCCCCAATAAAGAGTTAACATGCCAGCATGTGTGGCAGGGCATATTTTAACAGTCACCTTAGACTTCTCAGGGGAGACTGCAGGTAAAAAGTCGCTATGCAGACCATGTCAATATGTAATCAGCGTATGGCATACACATGCAAAGTACACATTACTTGCCAAAAGATTTGTAATGTAAATTACACTCCCCCTGGGAGAAGCAGTGATGGAAAAGGATCTGGGGGTGCTTGTAGATCACAGACTTAGCAATAACATGCAATGCCAATCTGCAGCTAACAAAGCTAGCAGAAGCCTCTCATGCATTATAAAGGGCATATATTCAAAAGATAAATCAATAATTCTACCCCTTTACACAACACTGGTTTGGCATTATCTTGATTATAAAGTTTACTTTCGGTCACTAATACTCAGGAAATAGACTGTTGAATAGGAGTTTAGCGGCAGGCAACACAATTATTAGGGGGGATAGAGGACCTCCGATATGAGGATCGGTAATATAGATTACAGTTATTCACTCAGGAGAAGAGGCACATAATTGGGGATATGATTACAGTTTACAATCCAGTAACTGTAATAAACTGTTTACTCCCTAGATCCCTAAAGAGGACACACAGTCAACATGCCAGGTTAGAAGGTTTAACCTTTAGATTACTGAAAGAGTTCTTTACTGTTAAAGCAGTTAAAAAAGACCACCAATTTTGAGGAAAAAAAACAATATTTTTGACTTTTTGCTGTTAAACATGTTCAGTAAAAAAATTTAAAAAATCAAATTTCGTCATAAATTTAGGCTAAAATGTATTCTGCTACATGTCTTTGCTAAAAAAATCCCAATACAGTATGTGTAAATTAATTGGTTTATGTGAAAGTTATAGCATTTACAAATGGTGGAATATTTTTTTTTTACTAGTAATGGCAGGGATCAGTGACTTATAGTGGGACTGCGGCGGGCATTCTGACACTGGGGGGGAACTGACTTGGTATTACTGACATCCCCAGTGACACCAATACAGTGATCAGTGCTAATAAAAAACACTGACACTGTACTAATGGCACTGGGCAGGAAGGGGTTAACGTGGGCCGATCAAAGGATTAACTGTGTGCTGTGTTACTATGGGGCTGTGTGTGTGCTTCACTGTAAACACACTGCTTTGTATGGCTCTGCTATGCAGAGCCATACAAAGCAGTGTGCAGGAGCTGACAGGTGAGAGATCTGTGTTGTTTATACTCAGGTCTCTCCCCTTTGGTAATCCTCAGTAATCACCAGCCAGGACCCGGTGTTCGACCGCCGGGGCTGTGAATGGTGGAGCGCATAGGGCGCACGCACACCCTCTACCCGGAAAATGCAAAATCAAGTATACATACGTGATTTTGCTCACCCGTGCCACCCTGCAGCAATATTTCTGCTATAGGGTGGACGGGAAGCGGTTATCAAGCTCAATAAACATGTCTTTAACCACTAGCCTACAGGGCACATATACCCCGTTCCTGCCCAGGCCAATTTCCAACTTTCAGCGCTGTTGCACTTTGAATGACAATTGCGCGGTCACGCAACACTGTACCCATATGAAATTTTTATAATTTTTTTGTGACATGTAGAGCTTTATTTTCGTGGTATTTAATCACCTCTGAGTTTATTTTTTCTTAAACCAAAAACCACTGAAATGTTGAAAAAAAAAAAGTTTTTTTCTTAGTTTTTGTTATAAAATTTTGTAAATAAGTGATTTTTCTCCTTCACTGATGTGCGCTAATGAGGCTGCACTGATGGGCACTGATAGTCTGCACTGATGTCATATGACGTCCTCCCAGAACGAGAGAACCGCCTTGCGTCCATCATATTACTATATGGCGGGTGAGGCGGTTAAAAAAAAGAAAACAGTTTATATTTTACAGCGGGCAAAATAAGTATTGAACACGTTTCTAATGCTATTGACATGAAATTTTCACCACATGTCGGTAACAACCCATGCAATCTATACATACAAAGAAACCAAAACAAATAAGTTCCGAAATTAAGTTATGTGTAATAAAATGGAATGACAAACAAACAATCTTCAAATCTTGAAGGTTCCATGGGACTCTTCTATGAACTTTGATCTTTAGTTCTTTCCATAGATTTTCTATTGTATTCAAGTCAGGTGATTGGCTGGGCCATTCTAGCATCTTTATTTTCTTTCTTCAAAACCAATTGAGAGTTTCCTTGGCTCTGTGTTTGGGATCATTGTCTTGCTGAAATGTCCACCCTTGTTTCATCATCATGGTAGATGGCAGCAGATTTTTATCAAAAATGTCTTGGTACATTTTTCTATTTATCCTTGCTTCAATGACATGAAGTTTGCCAGTACTGTATGCTGAAACACAGCCCTGCACCATGATGTTTCCACCTCCAAACCTCACTGTTGGTATGGTGTTTTTAGGGCAATGTACAGAGATATTCAAACTCCAAATATGGTGTGTATTATAGCATCCAAAGAGTTAAATTGTGGTCTCATCTGACCAGACTGTATTCTCCCAGTATTTCACAGGCTTGTCTAAAGTTTGCTGCACAACAGTTAAACAAGCTTCAGCATACTTTTTCTTCAGCGATGTCTTCTGTGGTGAACATGCATACAGGCATTACCTATTATTTTCTTAGAAACAATTGTACCTGCTAATTCTAGGTCTTTCTGAAACTCTCCACAAGTGGTTCTTAGCTCTTAGACAACTCTTCTGATAATTCTTTTCACTCCTCTGGCAGAAGTCTTGCGAGGAGCACCTGGTCGGGACCAGTTTATTGTAAAATGATGTTATTTCCATTTCCAGATTATGGCGCTAACAGTGCTCAGTGGAACATTCAGAAGTTTAGAAATCCTTCTATAACCAATGCCATCAGTATGTTTTGCATAACAAGGTTGTGAAGGTCTTGAGAGAGCTCTTTGCTTTTACCCATCATGAGATTTCTTGTGTGACACCTTGGTTATGAGACAGCTTTTTATAGGCCATCAGTTGAGACTGATATCAGCTGATATTAATTTGCACTGACGAGGGGCAGGATTGCTTTCTAATTACTGATAGGTGTCAGCTGGTGTCTTGGCTTTCCATGCCTTTTTGCACCTCCTTTTCTTCATGTGTTCAATACGCTTTCCCTGTGTCATTCCATTTTATTACATATAACTCAATTGCATGGGTTGATACTAACATGTGGTAAATATTTAATGTCTACAGCACCTTTAGAATGATATTTGCCAAGAAAAATGGTGACGTGTTCAATACTTAGTTTACCCGCTGTACATACAGCTTGCAAACAAAGTTATAAAACACTTTTTATTTGGTTTGCTATCATTTTATTCAGCAGCCTTTGATGCAGGGACTGGAAGTGGAGGCTAAACACAATGTAACAACGCAAAGAGACAGAGTTACAGAATCCCATAATCCTCTAAAGGATCAAGAAAAATGAACAAAAGCTTTATGGTTTTATTTCCTAGCAAAGCACACATTTTGGAACAGGGTTTTTTCTGAAATTAGAGATTTGTAAACTCCATCCTTTGTAGTGGTAAATCAATAGCATATCTCTTTTAGCATCAGGACCCACTTTGTAATTACATCACACGATGGTGCTTGTGACGATGACTTTTTTTCCTGTGTATGTGATCCCTGCTAAGGGCAGGGTCATCTTTAGTCTTCCCTGCAAGCAAAAAGCACAGCATCTTGGTCTAATGAAAAAAGAACATGGATGCTTTGTTATTTCCTCTGGTTATATAATATGCTGTATATTTCAACCCTGACAGCTGTTTTAGAATAACAACCAGGTTTTGCAAGGTAGTATAAAGCAGCACCATCAATTTAGTTATCATTACTTTGAACATCTGATACAAAACGAAACGACCTTAGATATAATCTTGTATAGAATGTCAAGTGGTTTTTATGTTGTTGGAGTATTAATGCATTGTATATCTTATGTTTTATAGGGGTAATTCCATTTCATGGCTTTTCAATGTACGGTAAGTGAAACGTAAACTAACAGAAGCTTTACCAAGATGTGACTGCAGTCAATCTGGCCACCCGCACGCTTTGAATCAGCACACTTATTGTTTGTTATGGTATGGTCCACAGAACTGGAGGTTCTGGTGTTTCTTTGTTCCAGTGATGACTTTATTAAACAGTGAATGTATGATGGATTGCTCTATGTATACATCTAATCTGGTTTTATTGTAATTATGCAATTTTGCTAAATGCTTTTTTATAGAAAAAGGTCAATACAATTTTTTAAGATATAGCACCTTGTTAGATGTTCCTCGCTGCTACATTTAAAGTCTCTATGCATTTGTTTCTACGCTGGTTTGTTAGACAATACACCATGTACACAAAAAACATTCCCCGGATGCGCCACAGTCTCTAGTGCGGTCTAATACAGTTGAAGACAACAAGTGATATTATGGCTGTTCCTACATAAAGAAATATAGGAAGAAACATTTAAAAGTTGATATTCTGGTCGATACAGATACCTACTGTGGTTTAGGTATCAGTGATGACTTTATTTGGGCTCCATATTTTTTCAGTTGTACTGTGGTGTGTTTTAGGTATGTTTTACTATACATCCCCATAAAAGGTACATTTTGCATTTTTTCTGTAACACACAGTCCTATAATGCAAACATCTGAATGTACAGTAGCTTTGTAATTGAATTCTTGATGACTGCTCACGTTTACAAAAAGCTAAACAACACAAATGATTTCACAAACGAGCTGGGTGCTTAATCTTCGTAAAATATTAAATGTCAGTACATGACAAGAGAAGCTGCATATGACACAAGGGTTTAGAAACACCACAAGCAGTTTTTTACAGAAGGAAGTTCCTGCAGGTAAATGTGACATTTTCATGACAGAGTCAGTATGGAATTTTAATTATAGTTTTTTCCTGTCCAGAAAGAGCATACATAAAGCTTTGGGACCATGGTTGTTTATGCAAGGCTGAACATTCATCCTGTGCAGCTCCTGGGTGTCAGTTATCTGAGCACAGCCACTATGTACATCTATGGATCACAGCCTAGTAAAGAAAGTGACATATTGAAATAGAATCCTGTCATTTTTCCTGTCATTATTGCAGACATTTTATGTTATGTGATTTTAAGAAAATATTTTGCTGTATTGTTTATCATGATGTTATTATTTATTTGATGATGAGTTTTGGTGCAAGTATCACAGGAAGGCGCAGCATATATATTTTCTGATTTATTATCATTATTGACATAAGTGTATCTGGGAGTCTTTTATAAACAAGATTAGACAAGGTTAGACTAGACCTTTAAAAACACAAGAGACACAGCTAATATGAAGATTGTATTTGTAAATGTCCATTGATGAGTAGCTGTTGGTTTAGAAATGTATTTGACTGACTATGACACTACCTTATAGGTGGCCATCAGGATTGTGTGCACCATGCACCAAATGGCTGACATGCTTGCACATCTCAGAATCTAACTGCATTTCTTTTTTAAAAAGGTCACAGATTCCCATAACCAGAGGCATCAGTTATTTGCATCTGCTGTGACGGAGCAGCTGGGGAGTGCAGTGATGTTTTTATATAAATGGGTTGGGGGTGGACTAGTAGGGAACTTTGTCACTTTTCACCAAATGAACATGTAAGGACAGAAGTTAAGAATCAGCCATGTTGTCCAAGAAATGGGCTATTCTCATTATTCTCATATATTTCTAACTTCTGTGTTTTCAGTTGCCCCTTTATGTTTCCTGTATCCTGAGCCCGCCAGACTATATCAAGTGTTTCGGGAGATGTATGTGCGCTTCTTCTTTCGACTCCACTCCATCTCTTCACACATATCTGTGAGTTACTATCAAGCTACGTTGAGCACTAGGACATCGAGCAGTGTGTAAAGCTATAGGGTGGATAATAAGTACTGATAGGATTATTTTGTTATAGAACAAGCAGTAGAGCATAGACTAATGGTCATTTAAAGCCCAATCCTTCCTAATGTCCCCCTAATGGCCCAGATGCCTATATACACTATATTGCTAAAAGTATTGGGACACCCCTCCAAATCATTGGATTCAGGTGTTCCAATCACCTCCATGGCCACAGGTGTATACAATCAAGCACCTAGGCATGCAGACTGCTTCTACAAACATTCGTGAAAGAGTCGGTCGCTCTCATGAGCTTAGTGAATTCAAGTGTGGTGCTGTGCTAGGTTGCCGCTTTTGCAAAAAGTCCATCCATGAAATTTCCTTGCTACTAAATATTCCACGGTCAATTGTTAGTGGTATTATAACAAATTGGAAGCAACTGGGAACAGCAGCAACTCAGCCACAAAGTGGTAGGCCACGTAAAATGACAGAGCAGGATCAGTGCATGCTGAAGTGTGCAGAAGTCACCAACTGTCTGCAGAGTCAATAGCTAAAGACTTCCAAACTTCATTTGGCTTTCAGACTAGCACAACAACACTGTGTAGAGAGCTTTATGGAATGGGTGTCCATGGCTGGGCAGCTGCATCCAAGCCTTACATCACCAAGTGCAATGCAAAGCGTCAGATGCAGTGGTGTTAGCACGCCACCACTGGACTCTAGAGCAGTGAAGATGTGTTCTCTGGAGTGACGAATCACGCTTCTCTGTCTGGCAACCCAATGGATGTGTCTAGGTTTGGCAGTTGCCGGGAGAACAGCACTTGCCTGATTCCATTGTGCCAAGTGTAAAGTTTGGTGGAGGGAGGATTATGGTGTGGGGTTGTTTTTTCAGAGGTTTAACTTGGCCCCTTAGATCCAATGAAGGGAACTCTTAAGGTGTCAGCATACTAAGACACTTTGGACAATGTCATGCTCCCAACCTTCTGGGAACAGTTTGGGGATGGCCTCTTCTTGTTCTATGACTGCGCACCAGTGTATAAAGCAAGGTCCTTAACGACATGGATGAGCGAGTTTGGGGTGGAGGAACATGACTGGCCTGCACAGAGTCCTGACCTCAACCCACTAGAACGCCTTTGGGATGAATTAAACTGGAGACTGCGAGCCAGGCCTTCTCGTTCGACACCAATGCCTGACCTCACAAATGCACTTCTGAAAGAATGGTCAAACATTCCCATAGACACACTCCTAAACCTTGTGGACAGCCTTCCCAGAAGAGTTTAAGCTGTTATAGCTGCAAAGGGTGCACCAACTCAATATTGAACCCTACAAACCAAGGCTGGGATGCCATTAAAGTTCATGTGTGTGTAAAGGCAGGCGTCTTGATAAGTTAGGCAATATAGTGTATGAAAATATGAATGACTCTGAGGCTGTGAGGTTATTGGTAATGGAGCTAAATGCAAACAGCAGCACAGCATTGGAATAGCATCAGGCTGACTTTCACTGAAGTCAGCCTCACTTGAATAAATGAAGCCAAGGCTTTTTATACCCAATCTGGAAGGACATTGAGAAGGAACAAGCTGTGCCCACACCACAGAAGTTATATACTTACAGCCAACTATCAAGAAGTGCAGCAGGAATGACAACAGCTATTTATTTAATTATAGCCAACAGTAATATGTCTGTCCTTACAGAAGAGACAAAAAAAAATACTTCCAAAACTAAAAACTGATTGTTCCATTCTGGCTATACCTTGGTATAATCCACCAGCCTTTTTTATGTCTAAGCAATCTAATGGTGACCTAACACATTTATTTATTATTTATTTATTTCAGGTATTTATATAGCGCCATCAATTTACGCAGCGCTTTACACATATATATTGTACATTCACATCAGTCCCTAACCCTCAAGGGGTGTACAATCTGAGGTCCCTAACTTACATTCATACATACACATATTAGGGCAATTTAGACAGGATCCAATTAACCTACCAGCATGTCTTTGGAGTGTTGGAAGAAACCGGAGTACCCGGAGGAAACATACGCAGGCACAGGGAGAACATGCAAACTCCAGGCAGGTGGTGCCGTTGGTGGGATTCGAACCAACGACCCTAGTACTGCCAGGCGGAAGTGCTAACCATTTAGCCACTGTGCTGCCACATATTAAAGTGATTGTAAGTAAACTGTAAATGATTGCACAGTCAAACATTTTTTTTTTAAATAACAAACCTGGTATACTTACCTGTTCTGTGCAGTGGAATTGCATTGAGCAGCCCCAATCCTCATTACCCCGCTCCTGGTTATGGGATTTAAGTGACAGCAGAGGGAGCCAGTGACTTCTGCTTCTCTCTGCCAAGCCCGTGAGACAGGGGGAGGGACTGCAGACGGGCACAGAGCAAGATCAAGTATGGGGGGCTGAGGTGGTGATATTGTTATCTAAACATTTTTTTACCTTTTCATTTTCAAGTATGCACTGATTTCATTTTATATGCCCTTTATTATATTAGAATGTTCTGAATCAAAACTAATAAACTATTTGTCAAAAAGAAATGTAGGGCCATTTTCCACTACATGTTGCTTTAATTCAACATGTTTTGTTGCGTTAGGGCAGTCCAGTCACTTTGAATGGGCTGGCAGCAAAACTCAACACACAAAAAAAATACCTAACACATTTTTGGCAGCACAACACAATGCAAACCTGTTGTTGTGCCTTGCTGTATGATGGAGATGCAAATCGTATCATGTGGTAAAATCTATGTTTTACTGCAGGTTACCACAATGCATCAGTGATGCTTATTGAGCTCCAGATAAGCTGCTTCCTGACCGCCCTATAGCAGAGCTGCTGCTACAGGGTGGCAGGGCTGCGCAAAATCATTGTGTGTGTGTGTGTATATATATATATATATATATATATATATATATATATGATTTTGTATTTCTGGGTAGGGGGTGGGCGGGTGCCCTACCTGCGATGCCATTGGCGGCTACAGCTATCGATTTCCGGGTCCCAGCCAGAGATTCCCCAACGGCATCTGGTGATTGCCAAGGAATACTGACAGGGGAGAGGTCTGTATGTAAACAATACAGATGTCTCCCCTGTCAGCTCCAGCACACTGCTTTGTATTGCTCTGCCTTGCAGAGTACACAGTAAAACACACACAGCATGCAGTAAAACACACACAGCACACAGTTAACCCTTTGCTCACCCCAGATGTTAAAGCCTTCCTGCTCAGTGTCATTAGTACAGTGTCAGTGCTTTTTATTATCACTGATTAGTGTATTAGTTTCACTGGGAATGTCAGCGACAGTTCCCCACCCCCCAGTATCAGAATGCTCGCCGCAATCCCACAGTCCCGCTGCCATCACCGCCATTACTAGTATAAAAAAATTCCAGTATATATACCGCCATTTGTAGACGCTATAACTCACGTAAACCAGTAAATTTACACATATTGGGATTTATTTTAGCAAAAACATTATGATGAAATTTAATTTTTTTTTTGACTGGATATGTTTTATATCAAAAAGTCAAAAATATATATTTTTTTTGTCCCTTTTTTTTTTTTTTTTTTTTTTAAATTTAAAATGTAGAGGCGTTCAAATACCACTGAAAGAAAGCTCCTTTTGTGGGAAAAATAGGACATACATTTCATTTGGATGCAGCGTTGCATGACTGCGCAATTGCCAGTTAAAGTAACGCAGGGCTCTATTGCAAAATATGGCCTGGTCACGAAGGGGGATAAATCCTGTGGAGGGCAAGTGGTTAGTCTTAGATGGAAATTGTCAGTAAATTCAAGGCTAGTCTTCTGTGAGTATCACGATTAATATGGTTGGTTAAGGGCTTCATACTTCCCTTTGTCCTTTTTTTTTTTTTTTTTTGTGTCACCAGGGGAATAGTTTTTATGTTTTATCAAACTAATAATTACAGCTTGATAGGAATAGAGAAGTATTTTCCTTTTATTTTAACATGTAGTTAAGCATAGAGCACCATTATTAAATAAAATATTGTGCTCTGTATAACAGTTTTACAAACTCCACTTGTCAATACATATTCACTATGAAGTCACACATACCTATGAAAAGTGATCAAATCAGTAAAAAACAAATAGTGACATATAGTCCATACAAAAACACAGTAAATTTTGCATGGATATAAAGCTCCACAACCATTAGTGAAGTCGTGTTCCAATACTGTAAATATAATATTGAGGCCGTGAATTCTATTTTCCTGATTTTTGGCCAACGTGTGCACCATCACCGAGTGAATAAATGGAGGCTTACCAGAAGCAGACACCCCTTAATTATAGGGGGTCTCAACCAGCATTGCAATATAGGGTGTCATCCAATTCTCCATGCCATGCCCAGATCAAGAATCTCCCAAGCTTCACAAACCAAAATGTGAACTCCAATACGATGTCAAATGGTATCATGAAAGAAAAAACATGCCTCTCATAGTGCAATAAGTTTGACTTCCTTTATTTGTGCAAATAAAAATCCTACTTACAACCAGTAGGGTACTGAAAAGCATTAAAAAAAAACACTTCCAAGATGGTCGACAGCACGATAACATCAGAGGGAGGCTCCGCCTGACCCGTTTCGTCATCAAAAGACATCTTCCAGGGGCTAGGTTTTTCATAGTGAATAAGTATTGACAAGTGGAGTTTGTAAAACTGTTATACAGAGCGCAATATTTTATTTAACAAAGTTTATGTGAAGAGAGGATATCCTCTTTAATATTTGCAGCTTTGTACGTTAGAGGCACTGGGAATTTGCGCAGTTTGATCTGTTTACATAGAGTATCAGTAGGTAGGCTTTCCTTGAAGTGTTATACAGTACTTTGTGTTTTTCCATTCTATGTTCCACAGTACAAAGATAACCTTATTCCTGTATGTTTTCTAGGGAATAATGTCTCTGTGTCTTCTGTTTGAGAGTCTTCTTCAGACACATCTCCCACAGCTTTTCTATCATCTCCGAGAGATTGGCGCACAACCGTAGGTTTTTGGGATTTTTTTTTCTGGAAGGGGAAGGGGTGCCTATCTACAGTGTGTTATCCTTATGACAGTCAATGTATTATGGTGTGAAAATCTACAGCTATAAGGCCTCTTTCACACCTAACATACAACCAAGGGGGCTGCACAAATGCTGTGACACAATGCAAAGAATCGTGGCAAATTTATTTCAGCTTGTCGAGTTTCCAAGGCAGTACAGCTTATCAATATCGCCCATTCAAGTGAAAGGAGCCTTGCTGCAAACGCAAGGTAAATGCTTAGTTTATGGTTGCAGCATGTTAGTTTTATTCAAAATTGTGTTTGCATAAAAATAAAAGCAGGCATGCAAGAAGGCAGGATACCCTCCTGAACATCTGGGTGCCATTGCCTAGCTGCTCTCTGAAAAGTGATTAACCGCAGATTGCTTGTCAGAGACTGCTGCAGTGTGATCTTAGCCAAAGAAGTGCCTCAGTTTCTTACTTTGGTTTAATCACTGAGAAAGTAACATATCCCTTAGTATATGAGGCATACAAATCAGAGTGTCTTTAGTGCAAAAATGGTGTTTCCCAGGTAAGCTAGATGTTTAGCCATTGGTGATTTTATTTTTTAGGGTGATAAGCACCATTATTTAATGGTCATCAATCAGACTCATAAGCTGAATGAAATGCTCTCTGGCCTATAAACAGATTGTAGAAATGAACCCATTGAATTGGAAGATTGTGCAGGAAAGGGGGGTACATTTCAGAACCTGGAGCTATGAGCATGGCAAAGTTTTCAGCAACTTATGCTATTTAGTAAGTTTAATTCTTTTAGCTGCAAAAATGTTTTAGATTAATTATTATGCAGCAATTGAAGCAGGTTTAAGAGCTAACTCTGACAGACCTGAAAATTCTCCCTTGTAGTGGGGTTGTGCTCACAATGCAAGGATTCATTTACCTAACCCCTCTCTCCGCTGTGCTGCTAGACTGGTCCCCTCCTGTGTGCAACGTCCTCTTCCCTATGCTCCAGCCGTCTGAGGTCTTGACGTCATCTTGACCGATGCAGGGTCCATAGCCTTACATTGGACATGATGGCACAGAGGGACCATCCACCACTGGAGCATAAGGGGAGTACTGCCTGCCAGGGAAAAGGAAGATCAAGTAAGTGAAAGTGCTTTTACACTTCCCTAGAATGCACAAGCAATGAACCCTTGGCGTGGAGCAGCCCCTCTGCAAGGGAGAATTTTCCAGTTTTCTGGGAAATTTTCCCGGAGTTGGGATTTAAATATTGTTCTTCTTGAGGCTGTTAGCAGACCTCCTTTTTTTTTTCATTTGTTTGCTGTTTCAGTTTACGCATCTCGTTCAAGTGGATGGTTCGAGCGTTTTCTGGCTATTTGGCTACTGATCAGCTGCTGCTATTGTGGGACAGAATCCTTGGCTATAATTCCTTGGAAATTCTTGCTGGTAGGATTATCTCTGGTTTATATTATTTACTATTTGTAATATTAATGTTTGTTAACTAAATCCAGAGCAAGCCACATATTGCTCTGTTGCTAATATAAATATTATGTAAACAGGGAAAGCTTGACTCCAGGTTCAGCAAATCTCTTGTGCTTTATCTAAAAAAAGAAGAATTGAAGAACAAGACAAGAAATTGTATTCTGTATAAAATATGAAGGAAGATGTTGAAGCGTGTGATGGGAAGCATGGTGGTTCAGCAGTCTTTGGGCACCTGTGTCCTGTTTTTCGTTTTAATGGCAAGCTGTGAGCAAGTGTGTGAGTCTGTTTTCTCCATAGGCTGTAGTCTACACAATTCACAGTGAATGGCCGATTAAAATACAACTGAAGGCAAAACATTTTTAAAAAATTTTAGATAGGTTAAAGCGGTTCTCCTCTGAAAACAACAAAAGTCAGCAGTTTAAAAAACAGCCACTCACCTGTCCCATGATCCAGTGTCTTCATCTCAGCCGGGTTCACCAGCTGTCCTTTTTCCACGGGGCCAGCAATGTAAGTGTGGGCACCCAGCTGTGACAGCTTGTGGCTTCACACCCGGGTGCCCACTGGTCATGCGCAAGCAGCACTGCGCATTGTGAATGGTCCTGCAGTCTTCTGGGACTCTCATGTATCCCAGAAGACTGCAGGGATGGGGGAGGGGAGGAGAACTTCCACTCACCTAGGTGGTGCGGAAGGAGAGTATACGCGCTCAAATGCCCGACCACCCCCCCTTTCCACAAGGGTGAAAGTGCCAATTCTTCACGGGGAGCTGGGGACCAGTCCTTAAAGTGGAACTTCCCCTTTTCCCCTTTTGGGTGGAGTTCTGCTTTAAGGAATAGTTATAACAACTGTCATGTTTTTATCCCATTTGTATCCCCTTGGAGCAATTTTTCTTCACTTTCTGTCCCATAGCTACAACATAAAGTGAGGGAAATTCCTAGTAGTCACCAGGGTCACCAGAATTAGTGCCCCCTTTGGAAGATTTCTTCTGTATTCCTTTTCTGGTGACCATGAAAAATGTTGACTTTTGCTGATAATGGTCACCAGGACAAATAGAGATTATAAGGCAGCCCGTAGATGATTCATTTTTTTTTCCATTCAACCAGCAATTTGAATGAATAAAACTAACCCGATTCCCTCATCCATACATTCGAGGTGGATGGAAGAATCCTCCCTCTGTATTTTGACAGCGGGGAGACTTTTCCGCCATCGTAGTACACTGATCAGCTCCTCTGGCTGATTGAGCAGAATTTTTCCAACAGGGCGGTTGTACAGAAGTCGATCAGTAGATTGACTTTGGTACAACCACCCTGCCAATACATGTATCAAACTCTACCGGTCCCTTCTGAACCAGCCAAATATCGATCCAGGCTTAAATCTCCCTGATGGGGACACAAACAGCAATAAAAACCTGACAGGTTTCCTAATCCCTCTCCACTTTACTTTAAACTAAGAAACAAATTAGCCTTCATATATACTTAGTGGATTTTTGTTTAAAGGATAAGTTTACCAAAAGCTAATATATCTCTTCAGGGTAGATTGCTGAACTGCCCACCAGCTTTTTTTTTTTATACTTTCAGCTCCTCAGACAACAAAATGCATTCACTTTAGCGTCCAGTTCATCTCACCTGTAAATCCAATATGCAGGGGCCTTATCCTGATGGATTTTTTTTACTTACTATAATGAACACTGCAAAGGAGTAAGACTTTGTTATGGGGTCAGTTTGGCAGGGAATGCTTGAGTAGCCCATTGATATCCACCTTTTACTGAAGTACGAATTTTAGGTATACTTACAGCCAGTTAGAATGTCTCTATATGTATAAGGCATTATTCACACTGGCACTGTCAATCCTGCGTGTATATGCTTTCTGAGGACATTTCTGAATGCAAGTACATGAATGTAATATAATTTTTCAGTAGTTGCAATCACACTGAGCAATTACCTGCATTTAGATGTGGTCAGTTTAGCTGCATTTAGAGAAAATAGAATTCTGGAACTTATTAGAAATGCTAAACACAGCAAAACACATGTAAATGTGGCTAATCTTGTTTTAAAGCAGGGACATCTAAACACACGGAAATGTGATCTGGGAGGCATAAAAGTTGTTTATACTTCCCAGACCACTTTTTCTGCATTTTAGATTTGATATCAGCCCTAGTGTGAGTGTACACATGTCCTAAACATGTTTGATGCATAGAAGGGAAGTTACTAAGACTGGAGAAGGAATAATCTGGAGCAGCTGTTTATGACAACCAATCAGTTTCTAGTTTCATTTGCAAAGCCTTTGGCCCCTTTTACATGGGCAGTTTGCATTCCAATCAGCAGGGGATCCACTCTCAAAGCAGAGTGAAACGGATGACAGGTCCGTATCCGCTCAGTTTATGCAGAACGTACATGGACAGACCCCGATCTGCTCTATGGGTGTCCAGGGGTAAATGGAGTCTGCTGTTCTTTTTTCACCTAGCTACCTCCGATCTGGTTCTCCAAAATAGAAGAGAACGCAGTTCTTCTCCATTTTTTTTAGCCGGCCTGATCAGACCTGGAGGTAGATGGGTGAAATGAACACAAGTCCATTGACATCCACCAGTCTATAAAAAAACATGTACCATCCAGTCAGGTCCGTTTGGATTGCCCCTATGAAAGGACCCTTTATGAATAAGCTGAAATTGGAAGTGCAGGCAAATGCATGGAGTTTGGGATCTGTGTTTGGGATGTTGTTAGGATTATATTGACACTGGCAGCAGATCGTACACACAGTGCGCTTTGAACACAATGTGGGAAATGCACAGGGAACATGGGTTTCCTTCACCACTTTCTGGTGTGAATAAACCCTAAATGTATTTTGATTGCATTTTGTGTAAGTGTAATGGCTTTTACCTGCCATGGCTAAGGTTTCCATCAAGTTTGGGAAGCTGAGACTTCTTCACGTTCCTCGCCGTGTGGGGTGCTGTCTAATCTGTCTCAGTAGTAGAACCATTAGGAGTCAAGCAATAGCAGCAAACGGCACAGGAACGGGAATCTTGTATGAGACGGTGATAGTCAGGTTCCCTTTATGCTAAAAGCTCTAATTTTCTTAACATATGTGAGACGCCATTTAATTAAAAATAGTATAGTATCAGTCTGCTTTATTAAAGTTTGGAAAAGGTCCTTACATATCCCATTCACGTATAAGTTTGCTAATTGGCAGAGTAAGTCATGCGTGTGGTGTCAGCTGGAGGACACGTATGAATGATCACCCCAGATGGTAGCTGGTGTCTGCTGGCCGGCATTTTATCAGCAGGCTGCCTTCTCAGAGTGTACTACAAACCTTGCGTGTTTCTGAAGCCACTTTCTCCCTTCCATTTCCTCTATTGCTGGATTCCGCAGCTGTTTACTCATGTATTCTGCATTCCACCGATCCACACATAAGTCTGTTTTGTGATTTCTATGATTAGAATCCATAAAACAAGGTATTTTAACAATCTTCATCCAGGGCACATAATAGTATACAAGAGTAGTTAACATGATATAATCTCTTATGTAATTTGTCAGCCCATAAATTCTACAAAGTCCATAAGGTGTAGCAGTAACAGCAGTTCCTGTAGATCCTCAGCGATGATTCAGCTGATACAAAGAGAGTAAAAGCGAACAGGGCACAGGAAAATATTAAAAAAACAGATACATTTAGACCCTATTCACACTTGCGAATGGGGCCTTAGCTTTAAAATGCGAAAGACCCAGTGGAAGTTCTCGATGATTAGCTGGGGGTGGAAGCATTAAAAGCAATAGGAGGCTGACAGCTACTGCAACTAATTGCGGCTGCTCGCATGTAAAAGTCATGAATCGATTACCTGTGAATAATCAGCCTGAATGCAGTCTGTATCCAGGGTTGATCACTCGCAGGTAATCACTTGATACTATTTTAAAGTATCGGTCTATGTAGCCGTCAGGGTTGCTTGCTAAGAATTTTTTTTTTCAAAGATTTGATATATTTATGCTGAGTATTGTGCATTTACTCAGTCATACATTAATAAAATATTTTAACAAGTGTTACTAAAAAAAATATATATCTCCTAATCCTTTTCAGTACTTAAGGATGTGGTTCTCAAATGATGGAAAGATAGTTTCTGAAATGTACCAATCTTTGGTCATATAGAGAATTTAAAGCAGATCTTCATCCTCCAAAACGTTATCCCTCCACTCCACCCCTCCTCTGTTCCACTATGTGAATAGTAAGCTTTTAGGCCCCGCTTCCCCTTGCATCTCAATCACCTAGGCCAGCGGTGGCGAACCTATGGCATGCATGCCGCAGTATGCATGCAGAGCCCTCTCTGTTGGCATGTGAGCCAAGTTGCCCCAGCAGCCGGGCATCAGATAACAGCACACATAGGGGCCATGCGCATGCTCGGAAAGGAGTAGCGGCGCCAGGCGATGACGTTATGAGCCTCGTCTCATTAGCCGCAACTCTTCTGAGCTTTCGCATGGGCAGTCAGTGCGCTGCCAAGGATATATATATTGGACTGGCTGTGAGTTGTAATACATTCATTTTTATTAACACAAGATTTTAGCTTGTGCTGGTGGTCAGTGGAACTTTGCCCCCCTTGTGCTGGTGGTCAGTGGAACTTTACCCCCTTGTACTGGAGGTCAGTGGAACTTTGCCCCCTTGTACTGGTGGTCAGTGGAACTTTGCTTCCTAGTGCTGGTGGTCAGTGGAACTTTGCCCCCTTGTGATAGTGGTGAATGGAACTTTGCCCCCTTGTGCTGGTGGTCAGTGGAAATATGCCCCCTTGTGCTGGTGGTCAGTGGAACTTTGCCCCCTTGTGCTGGTGGTCAGTGGAACTTTGCCCCCTTGTCAGTGGTGTATTTAGGTTTCGTGCTGCCCTAGGCAACACAAAAATTGGCTCCTGTACCCCCAATGGAGAGAGACCCTAACACCGACAAACACCCCCCTCCCCCACGAAGAATGCCTGACATTGACCAACACCACCCCATCCCCCCCA